AATACCCTGTATATATATATTTATATATATTTATATGTATATTTTATTTGAATAAACATGGAGAGATTGGAAAGTAACACATTCAAGAAAGTTGCAAAACACAAAGTGCACATGATGGGAACAAGTGGTGGATCACCCAAAAATCTGTACTTAACAACTTGTGACGTGGCGATTTCGCCGTCACCGATTTTAGCCGGAAGACGAGGAGAGCTGTGCTCGCGCCCCCTTCTTCCGCGGGAAGGGCGGCGGCGACGAATTTGGTCTCGCACGCTTTGTGTGCGAGATCGCGTTGTTGTAATTTTTTTTTTTGTTGTTTTATTTGTGTGTTCGGGCTGCGACGAAAATGACGGAGTGCATCTATCGGAGCGAGGCGACGGCGGACCTGAAGCGACGGGGGCCCCGACTAACTTGCCGCGGGGCGCCAGGAAGGGCTGGACCTTAAGGACCAGATCCCTGGGACGCCCTGGGATATCAAGAGCTTCCGGCAGCCACTTGAGCGCCCACGCCAGTTAGAGATGCCGTCAGGCACAGGATCCCGTCGACAAGGAGTCAGAGAATTCGGCGGTGTCATGCGGGCCCTGTAAGGCGCCCGCGCTAGAGCCGTGCGTTCCCGCAGGACTAATAGGACCTAGCGGCGATCGGCGGCTGAGACCGCGAGCCTCAGGAGCCTCGCGCTCGCAGGAAAATTCGTCACTGTGCGGATAGCGAGCGACGCGAGTGCTGAAAACAGTCCTGCGAGCGAGCGAACGATACCACGAGCGAGCGAACGATCCCGGGGAGCGAGCGAACGAGCTTTCGGACGAGCGAGCTAGCGGACGGGGAACGAGGGCGAGCCCAGCGAGGAATATTTGGTGAGCTGTCTTCCACCGATCGTTCAGCCCGAGCGCCGAAAGACTGGGATGGTTGCCGTCGCTTCACGACGGCAGCCGGAAGGGTTCGTCGCCATCCTCGACGACCCGTTTGACCTCGCAACCGCGGGCTCAGATTCGGTGCCCGCGAGAGAATAGCCGTCCTTACCGCGCTGCCTGCTGCCGCTTCACCGCGTTCGCGATCGCACAGTACGGCGAGCGATTGCGTAAAAATTATGACGACTCGCGATCATTCGTAGGAAGTGCGGGTCTCCGAGAGTGGCGAGAAATACGTGGTTCGCGATGTGACAATTAGGGCCGGGATGCACCCGGCTGGCGCCCAATCCCGTAATTAGCGTGTAACGATAGAATTTCGCGAGTCTCGTGCCGTTCGAACTCCGCGAGGCAGAAGGATCCTCGACTACGGATCCAGCTGCCGAATAACTTCGCGATTACGCGACTCGAATTCCGCACCGCGTCTCTTGTAGAATCTTTCTTTGTTGTTTTTTTTTTGTTAAATATAGCGTAATGTTAAACCGTATGTGTGTTCTTTCGTGATTCCTCCGACTCTGTCGCCTGTTCCTCTCGTGTCGCGCGAAGGAAGGTCGCGCGTCGACACACGAACCCCGCCGCTCTATTGAGTTAGATATTTGTTTTTTGAGAGCTGCCGGCGAGCTCGGCCGTCGCCGCAACGGCGGAGACGAAGTTTTGGCCGTATTCTCGCGTACAACTAACGAAAAACGGTCACAAACTATAGAGAATGCTTTGATAGATTTTTTGACATCAGATGCAAGTGCCTTAAAAAAATATATCTGAAGGTGAATTTTAAAATATAATATCAAGCAGTAATCTAAAATCAGATGAGTATTATTCGATAAATTCCTCACCTGTGCAAAGTAAAAGAAAATTAAAAGAGAGAAGATTAAAAGAAAATTTAAGTTAGTATTATTCGTCTACTTTATTATGTGGTGAAGACGAAAATAATATTGATAAAATATTTTTAAGTGACTCTTCTGACGACTTAATGTTACATAGTATGTCACAAACCAAAAGAATGACATCTCCTCTTATGAGCAAAAAGCAATCTTCCTCCAAAAAACGTAAAACATCAATTTCTTTGTCAAATAATGATATACAGAATATGTATGAAAACAAAGAAAATATATACAAGGTATATATACAAAATATTTGTAGACAAACGTACAACGTATTTATGGAAAAATATTGGAAGTACAAATAAGTTTCCGCCGTTTGACAAAAGATGGCCCCACCAGTAAGTTATGGTTGAAATTATCAGATGTAAAACATTATATCGTAAGGTTGGACATCTGGCAACACTATAACCTTGAAATATTAGCGATTTTGTATCAGCATCACATAAATTTTTTCGTGCGAAAATGTCGAGTTTTGAGCCAAATAAGCGTCATTTGCGGGAACTTTTGATTTACTTTTTTAATTTAAAGAAATCTGCAGCTGAGGCGCATCGATTGCTTGTAGAAGCATATGGTGAGGCTGCTTTAAGTGAGAGAAGTTGTCGTGAATGGTTTCAAAAGTTTAAGAACGGTGAGTTTGACGTCGAAGACAAAGAACGTAGCGGAAGGCCGAAAGTGTACGAAGACGCAAAATTGGAAGCATTATTGGAGGAATATTTGTGCCAAACGCAAGAAGAACTTGCACTTACATTAGGAGTGACTCAACAAGCAATTTCACATCGTTTAAAATCGTTGGGAATGATTCAAAAGCAAGGAAATTGGGTTCCATATGAACTGAAGCCGAGAAACGTTGAACGCCGATTTTGCACATGTGAAATGCTGCTTGCCAGGCATAAACGAAAGAGTTTTTTGCATCGTATAATCACTGGTGATGAAAAATGGATCCACTACGATAACCCAAAGAAGAGGAAATCATGGGGACCACGTGGCCATGCTTCGACATCGACAGCCAAGCCGAATATTCATGGAAAAAAACTCATGGTGTGTATTTGGTGGGATCAGCTTGGTGTCGTGTATTATGAGTTGCTCAAACCGAACGAAACCATTACTGGGGTTCTCTACCAAATACAATTGATGAGATTGAGCCGAACACTCAAGGAAAAACGCGTCCACTACTATTCCAGACACGACAAAATTATTTTCCTGCATGATAATGCTCGTCCACACGTTGCGGCGCTGGTCAAAACCTACTTGGAAACACTCAATTGGGAAGTTTTACCCCACCTGCCGTATTCACCAGACATTGTTCCCTCTGACTATCACTTGTTTCGATCGATGACGCACGGCCTGTCTGAGCAGCACTTTACATCATATGAAAATACCAAAAATTGGATCGATTCGTGGATAGTCTCAAAAGATGAAGCGTTCTTCCGACGCGGTATCCTTATGCTGCCAGAAAGATGGGAAAAAGTAGTGGCTAGCGATGGAATATACTTTGAATAAAACATAAGGTACTGTTCTTTCACAATAAATGCCCAATTTTTGATAAAAAAAACGGCGACTTATTTGTACTCCCAATATTTTACATAGATAATATAGTTCATTCCTAGATATACGATATTTTCGATATTTATGATGTATTATTCATTATGTCAATCAACAGGACATAGATAACGTGATTCCATTAGATAGCAAAAAATATCAAGATGTAAGTGCAAAATACTCCGACGGTAATCACGATATAAATTTGTATATATAAAATTATTATAATTATTTACAACATTTATTTATTCAAACTGTTAGAGAATGTTACACATATAATTATTATGTTACTATATACTTATATTATTATATATTTATACTATATGGAGAATATCATTATAAATTGTTTTACTATATTTGAAAATATTACAATAAATTACGATTTTATTAAAATTACGATTAATTTTAAAGACTAGTTACTCCAATTAAAATATTTTCATACCATTATTTTATTAACATGAGAATATTTATGACTGATATTCATATATATATATATATATATATATATATATATATATATATATATATAATATTATATATATACAAGATGTCTCATATTCTCCTCTGGGCATTTAATTTCCGGGGACGTAGAATGGGTTGATGTGAACATAAAAGTCCTGTACCGTTTTGCAAAATTCGTAATAATAGTCGAGTAATTAATTGTGAAAAATTAAGGAAAAGAGTGTGTTGAATGGTAGAGGACGGACCGCTTGAGTCACAGCGCAGCCCAATAATATAGTACGCGGATGTCGTGTGTGGCGATTGGAAAACAACGCACCACTGCCTATTCTTAAGCCCACTCTACAATTGCGTAGTCGTGAACGTAAGAGTCAACCAATCCGAATGTTTTATTCACTGA